CTGCGTTGCCGGCCACGGCTTTCGCGGCCGCGTCGCAGCGGGCAGCGCGTGTCCCGCGCCCGGCCCGGACTTGGCTCCTCACTGGACGTGAACAGATCGCGTGCTTGGTGGAGGCGCAATGAGGACTTTTGTTTACCCGAAGGATTGTCTGAGCCCCGAGCTCACGGCTGCTGAATAAGAAAGTTCTTTTCTAAATTTACCAGCAGAGTCCAGAAAGAGGCCCGGCACATGCATATTCAGCACCAAGAAAGACTGACGCTTTTTTTTTTTTTTTTTTTGACAAACTGCGCCTTGAGGAGTGGGCGGGAAATGTGCGGTTTTTATGAAAATGTCAGGGAACTTCTCAGAATCCCATTAAGCAATGCTAATTACTAAATATTACATGCTAATTGCTCTACATGCAGTTGGAATGCCAAGGAAGGAAGATGAAACGGGTGTAAGCTATTGGCGACCGCGTCAGGGATGTTTTTGACGTTTCACAGCCCTCACCGGGAGCGAAGGTTGTGGTGTTCATTACTGGAAGGTGCAGCCGCGGGCCCCGAGCGCGTAGGTGTCCTCGCTGGCTTGAAGCTCCTTTTAGAGGAGGTGAGCTGAGGCGGTTAGAGAATTGCTGGGAGACAGCTCCCCTGGAGCTGGGACGCAGGGACCAGGGATGGTTCTGCGAAGGACCACACAGAGTGGCCGCGAAGAGTTGCAGTGTCAAGGTGTTTGCCTAACAGCCTGCGCTTTGCTAAATTGCCCAAGCTGGGCTGGAATTTGTGATCCTCCTGCCTCAGCTTCCCAGAGTGCTGGGATCGCAGATGTGTGCTACCATGCCCAGCTCAGCTGAGGTCTTTTCATAAATGTTCCTTCTTCCAACATGAAGTTGGCAACCCGAGGATGCCAGTTCCTGGGTTACCGTTACCTGTCTGTGCTCTGAGCCAGACCGGAAGCCCCTTCCAAGCCTAGGGATGGTATCTAATCGGCAGGCTGCTGCGATGCCTGAGGCCATTGCCTTGTGCATCAGCTCTTAGCTTAAGTCAGTATAAGGCTTAGTGACATCTTTTGCCCTCCTGTGGTGGAGGGAAACCCTGGCCTTGGCCTCCAGCGACAACGTGGCAGGAATCACAACACCTTTCAGGTTCAAGAAAGCCCTTGTGGTGCACGCCTGTAGTAATCCCAGCACTTGGGAGGCTGAGACAGGAGGACTTGCAAGTTCGACACCAGCCTGGGCTATGAAGCAAGCTCAAGGCCAGCCTGAACTGCATAGCAAGACCCTGTCTCAAAAAGACAAAAAAAAAAAAAAAAAAAAAAAAAAAAGAAAAAGAAAACTCAGCCTTTCAGCCCTGAAGAAACTATCAGCAAAAACAATCCCCAAAGTACAGCAACACAAGCCTAGTAATGCCAACCCAACTTCAGATGAGAGCAAAAACTGATTTTGCTGTAAGAAGCCTCCTAGAACGACAGATTGAAAATCAGGAGGGCGGAGGCCAGGGTGCAGCATGAAATGCTTCCCCAGACTTGGAGCAGTGCACACGGGGCCACGGTGACGGAGTTCTGAGGTGCTGTGGTCACCCAAGAGCCCAGTTTCCATGAGGCAGAGGAGCGGTGTGCGATGGGCCCCCGCCAAGGTGAAGGTTTCAGCGAGGCTGCCAGGTGGCAGCTCTGTCCCTGGAGAGATCTGTCAGGCAGTTAGCACTTGAGTCATTTCCAAGCCCTTGTGTTGAGCCTGGCGGACGGCAGCTGAGTGGGAGTGGATTTGGGGATGACGCAGTGGGACTTGGTTGAAGCGCTGATGGCAAGCTGCCCAGGGGGCCGCAGCTTCCTCCCCCACTGCCTGCCCAGGAGCCCTGCCAGGCCCAGGTCCCTGCGCAGCCTGGGCCTCCCTGGCTCGGTCAAGCTGCTCCTGAGTGGTGCAGGCGCAGCGGGCCTCTGGGCACTCCCGGTCTGCCTTGGTCCTTTCTCAAGTGCTCACCAGAAGCTGCAGCTGTTTGCACCCCTCTATGCTTCCGGCTCCACTGGGGGCCTTTCAGGGGCCAGTGAAACGGAACTGGCATCTTCGGGTTGCCAACTTGATGTTGGAAGGAGGAACATTTATGAAAAGACCTCAGCTGAGCTGGGCATGGTAGCACACACCTGCAACCCCAGCACTCTGGGAAGCTGAGGCAGGAGGATCACAAATTCCAGCCCAGCTTGGGCAATGTAGCAACTTAGTGAGACCCTGTTTTGATTTTTGTTTTGTGACAGGGTCTCCCTACGCAGTTCAGGCTGGCCTTGAACTCACTGTGTAGCCCAGGCTGGCCTCGAACTTGCAGCAATCCTCTTGCCTCAGGTTTCTAGTGTGGGGATCACAGGCGTGCACCACCACACTGAGCTTAAGACCCTGTTTTGAAATGAAACAAAAAGTAAAGGGTAAGGATTTAGTGCCGGGTGAAGGCCCTGAGTACCACAGTACCCACTACCACAAAAACCAAAAAACCCCAAACTCTTACAAAAATCAAAACGTAAGAAAGCTTTTAATTAAAGAACAAAGAATTGCTTTAATTCTGCGAAACTTCATTTCTGGTCAGTAGTGGGGCTCTGTTCCGCTGTCCGGGTCTGGGGCCACTCTTGCCTGGCTGGTGAGGTGGAGCAAGGCGAGGCTGATTTGACCAGAGACACCCCCGCACCCAGGGTCATAAACAGCTGGCCCTCACAGTAATGCCTCTCAGGTGTGGTGCAGGCGTGTGATCCCAGGACTCTGGGAAGCTGAGGCAGGAGGATGGAAAGTTAGAGCCCACTCTGGGCAACCCAGCAGTTTAACACGATGCTGTCTCAAAGGGTGAGTGTCGGGGTGGTTGGAGCTGGGGATGTAGTTCAGTGGGAAGACTTTGGGTTTAATCCTGTTCCAGATAATTAAATAGCAAGATAAATCGCAAAGAAAGAGTCTTAGCTTAAGTATTTGTGAATACAAAAACAATGTGCTTTCTTGGTATAACAACCCAGGATTAAAAATGGAATTCTAAAGAAATAAAGATTGGTTCACAAATGAATATAAAATTTTTTTTTTTGAGACAAGGTCTTGCTATGCAGTTTAGGCTGGCCTTCAACTCACTATGTAGCCCAGGCTGGCCTCAAATTTGCAAGGATCCTCCTGCCTCAGCCTCCTGAGTAGTGGGATTATAGGTGTGTGCCACCATGCCCTGCTACAATAAATTTTAGAATGAAAAGTCTTGCAGTGAAACTCTGAAAAACAAAAAACCCAACTATGAAAAAAGTCACGTTTGTAAATTAAAAATTGTCCCTTGGTATCCGTGGGGAATTGGTTCAGGACCCCTACAGACACTAAGATACAGGATGTTCAAGCCCTTCCTGAAAATTGTGCGGACCTTTGTAGAACCTGCACACACCCTACGCAGGCACTGTTTTTGGGTGGTGGTGTAATTCTTTGTTTTATATATACGTTTCTTAGAGTAGACATTTTAAATAAATGGCATGGTTTCAATTTAGGGTTCAGGTTAGGGGCAGGGAGGGAGGGTCCTTGTGGCCCAGGCTCACGGGAGGGACGGTCTCTGCACCCCTGCATTCCATCTGCACTAACCTGTTATCTCTGAGGGGCAGGATTTCTGTTTGCATTCGGTGTTTTCCACATTTCCTGCAATGACAGTGTTACTGCATTTTCCCCTTTTCTTTTCCTGCGGTCCTAAGGGACGTGTGGCTCACGCATGCTGGGCAAGTGTCTACCATCGAGCCACAGCCTAGGGCCAGTGTTACAAGTTTTACAATCAGGAAAGAAGTTTTCCTTTCAAAGGAAGAGATAAGGAGCAGAGAACAAGCCGTGGGCTGCGCCCTGCTGGCTCCAGGCGATCCCAGTGCCTCCCCCCCCCCCAGCACCCACTGTGCTGCTGCGGCCGAGCTCAGGGACCCCGCAGCCCCTGAAATGCAGGCCGAGCAGCTCTCCTGCATCCCTCTGGCTGTTCTGAGGTTCTCTAGAAGGCCCAGGGGCCCCGAGGGCGCGCTCATCCCTCAGTGGAAGATGGCTACCTGACTGGGGTGGGGCCTGTCCTCACAGACATGGCTGTGGTGGCGGAGAAAGAAAAGCCAGGACCAGCTTTCTTCACAGGATTAGTTTTAATGATTTAAAAACAAGTCTGTACAAAACCAGCACCACACTGGCACCCCAGGCCCCGGGTTCCAAGGTCTCTTCCAGCACTATCTCTTTGGCCAGCTGTGCCTGAAGCCTCTGCGGGGACAACACAGGATGAGTTACTTCCTGCCTGTGCGGTGGCGCGCTCAGTCCTGCGCTCAGTCCTCCACAGCACAGGAGTGAGGGGGGCGGTTTGCTCAGGGTCCGAAGGACCGAGCGCACAGTGGCGGCGGCCCACACTCAGGCGTCCGGAGCAGGGCCCGTCGGGGGAAGGGGGTGCAGCGCCACGGCCCGCAGCTGGGCTGAGGCGGCAGAGCGCCCTCACGCTGAGCCTCGGGCAGGCCTCACCCAGGATCTGCTCTAGTGTGAGCATTTCGGCCCGCTGCGAGAACACTCCTCAGCAACAGGGACAACCCACATGGGCTGATCTGTTTTCCCATTCCTAAGAAACAGGCGGGTCTAGGAAGATTTCACACCTGTGCGCTCTGAGGTGACCCAGGAAACGCAGGAGGAAAGAGCTCGGGGACTTGATCCTGCGATTCCCTGAGGGGCCGTGTGACCGGCAGCACAGAACAAATCTCCCCCTCCCACCCCGCCGTTTCAAAGTAAGAAGGAGGGTCTCTCCTCTGCTGTTGTTCCCCAAAGTGAGGCGGGGCCCTTCCTGCTGGCCCGGGGAGGCCGGCTGAGACCGCATACCTGTCTGACTTGCCCGCTGGGAAGGACATGCTTTTGTTCCCCACTGACTGTTTCACTTTTTTGGCTGTAATGCATTTCTGAAACAATAAGAACCATTAAGCTGACAAGAAGCGGACACGGAAGCTTCCTAACCCGCCAGCTGATCCTGGAGACACGGGCAGGGGGTGCACTGCGGGTTTCTGCAGCTGCCACCTCCGCCCATCAGGAGGGGAGGCCGAGAGGCGGAACAGGTCCTGGCACGGACCCTGGTGGGGCACACGCGAGGGAGAGCTCTGCCTGCGACTTGGATTCCCACAGGAGTCAACAGTAACTCCTTTGAAACTGCACGCCAGCTCTGACAGCTCCTGGTTTTTCCTCTGCTGGGCCAGCTGATGGGTTCTGCCTGGGTCGGGGAAGACACGCGCAGGAAAGGGAACCCTGGACCCATCGCCGCGCGAGGTCAGACAGCAGCACAGCCGGCACGCGGGGACGCTGCGCGACGTTTCCGTTTCCGCTCATTTTGCAGGGCTGGGGACCAGCGCCGAGGGCCTGCACTAGCACGCTGAGCCGAGCAAGTGCTCTGCGTGGAGCTGCCTTCAGCCCTTCCGCTGCACTTCCTACCTTGCCAGCTGCAGCCTGCTTACTCGGGTCAAACTGGGAGGAAGGTCTGGATTTGCCATCTGCTGAAAGGTAAGAGACGGGACCGGAGATCACATCACTTGAGTTGCCACTTACAGCAGGCTCGGTGTGACAGGGGCCCAGAAGGCCACTGGCCACCCCCTGTATGACAACACACAGGTATGTGTTTCGTTCCTAGCGGCCCTCAGTGGCCTGAGATCAGGTCACGTCTCGCAGATGACTGCTGCGGGAAGGTGCTTTCTCATCAAGGAGCTCTGACACCTTGGGCTGGAGACACCAGGGCTGGAGACCCAGCCTGAAGCACTGCTCTGATAAAGCCCCTGTGCAGCTCGTCCTGGCCTGCGCCCCCACTGCTCCGCGGCTGTCCTGCTCTGCGGGCTGCTGTCGGGGGTGCCACGTGTGCCTTCGGGCAGTGGGGCTTCCCTGGCAGCAGCCGCAGGACAGGCCCCGGGGGCTTTGGGGCTTTCAACACCCAAGCCCTCACTGTGTGCTGGGGGTGCAGGAAGGACGTGCTCCTGGGCACAGTGACAGTGAAGGGGCTGAACCCCCCGGCCGTACGGAGGACAGCTGGCTGAGCCACCGCAGTGGCTCCTCACCTCTCCAGGGAGGACAGGGGCCTCTGGCCATGTCGTCAGTCAGCGCCGGGCTGAGCCTAACCGCGACCTCCCTCCCGCTCCCTGGGCCACGTGTGCCCCTCGCAGCCCTAGTCTGCTCCTCACCAGCGAAAGCCTTGAAGTCCGTCCGGCTGTAGTCATAGGGAGTGAACTCTCCCACGGGTGGAGCTGGGTCCTTCGGCTTCTTGGAAGTCTTGAGTCGCTTCTTCTCCTGTTTCTGTTCTGTGGTCCTTGGGTCACTTGTCGTGCGCTCTCTCTTCTTGGCAGCGTTTTCTAGCTGCAGGGTGAGCGTGCCCAGGGAGGACGCACAGGAATTTGTGAGAGGAGAAGACCCTGCTGCCTCTGCGACAGGGACAACCCTATACCGCGTAACGTGATGAGCAATGCTGGGATGGAACCCAAGCCCGAACGCAAAAATTCCATTGTTTCCTACGCTCCTCACAACAGGCTGAGGTCTTTCATGCAATCTGTCTGATGCTTCTGTGCATCGATGAGGTTGCAGTCTTACACCTGCGGTGCCGTGCTGGTGCTCAGGGGGCATCTCAGATCAACCTGTATCAGCTGGGGACTTGGTCTCGTGTCACATGAACATCAGGAAGTACAGTGTGCACAGAGGGGCTGTGGCTGAGCAAGCTGCAAGTTCCTGCCAGTCCCAGCTGGCACAAGTTCCTAACTGGACAGTGACATCAGCCACTTAAGAGAGGTAGGGAGCCGGAGGTATAGCTCAGTGGCACAGGCACCTGCCTGGCAAGTGCAAGGTCCTGAGTTCGATTCCCGGCACACACACGAAAAAGGTAGGGTTAGCTGTGTATGGTGGTGTACACCTACAGTCCCAGCACTCAGGAGGCTGAGGCAGGATGATTACTGTGCGTTCAGGGGCAGCCTGAACTACACAGCGAGACTCTGTCTCAGGAAAGCCCCAAAAGAATTCCTAAGCGTTCTGGGGTGGGGGGACAGGAGACAGGGCCCTGTTACCAGGCCACAGCTGATAAACACAGCAGATGAACACATCTAGGGAGAGCTCTTCTGGGGCAGAGGCAGTGTCAGCTTGGGGAGGGAGACGGGGCAGGCACTGGTGAGCCAGCCTGAGTGCAGGACAGGGAACACTTTGCCTGAACCGCAGGGCGACCTCGCCCTGAGCACGAGCAGGGATATCCTGCTTCTGCAGAGAAGCCAGCACGTACCGCAGCCTGCTGTCGCACCGAGATGGCCTGCTCCACGGTGGCTCTGTACTCTTCCTTGGCCTGTTCCCGGGTGGCTGCAGGACACAAGCGTCTATAGAGCTGGGCCCCAAGCACCGGTGTCCTCCCGACTCCACCTGCATGCATGATCTGGGGCCCCGCCACACCTCTTTGTTCCCCGCGTGTTCGGGGGGTCATGACTGTCTATACTAGGGCTAACCCAGAACCTGTCCCCTCGAGCTGGCTCGGCAGAGGACAACTCCTCCTACAGCTGCTCAGGACTGGACGCTCTGTGGCGGGGGCTGCGTGCCCTCTCATCTGCCACATCCAACTTGGTGCCGTCCTCACTGCAGAATGCACTCAGGCTGACAGCTCCTTCCCACCCGCTCCCTGCCCAGCACGCTCCACCGGGGCACGGGACTGGCGCTTCCCCTGATGGTGGGCGGGTTCTGCTCAACGTTACACTACTCAGGCGCTTCCTCAGTACTTCTAGAAGCAGCAGCCATCGCCCCCAAGCCTCAGCACCCTCTCCCTGCACGGCATCTCCTGCACAGCATTTGCTGTTCGCCGCCCACCACTCCTCAGCAGCAGGCGCGCCCGGAGCCAGGGCTGCTCCCTGCCGATTCTCGCCTGTGGCCCAATGATGTCATCGGCAAGGGCTGCCTGTAACAAGCATGCTGCGTTCACAGGGAAGTCACAGATACCTGTTTGCTCAGCTGCCTTCTTCTTGGCAGTTTCTTTAGCTTCTTTTTGTACTTGTACTTGGCTGGCCAGCTTCCAACGGTTGCTGATCTGTAATGAAAATAGACACAACAAAAAACTCCAGAACCTTGTCACCTGGCAGTGCCTGAGTATGTGACAGGGCAGCGGCGGGCTCTCTAAGCTAGTAGCTACACACATTCTTGGCCACCAGTTCCAAACCCAAGGTCACACAAGCCGATCCGCTGGCTTTGTTTGTAAGATCCTTTTGAGGAGAACAAGTATAGCTGTGTTCTGGGCACTGGGCTGGAGATTTTCACGCCCAGCATCTCACTCACCCTCCTCTCTAACCCCCACAATGGCGCCACCCCCCCTTCCCTTAGGAGTGGAGGAAGCTGGGCGTGGTGACACCTGCCTGTACTGGGAGCACTGGGGAGGCTGAAGCGGGAAGACTGGCACGTTAGAGCCCAGCCTAGACAATTTAGCAACTTAGTGGGACTCTCGCTCTCAAGATAAAAAAATAATACAAGGGCTGGGGATACAGCTCAGTGTGAAGGGCTGGGATCAACCCCCAGCAGCACCACCAATTAAAAAAAATAAAACAGAGATGAGGAAACGGGCTGGGGAGGCTGGGTAACTTGCCCAAGGCACACGCTCAGTAAATGGAGGAGCTGGGACTCGAGGAGGGACCATCCCCAGTCAGTGTGTTCCTCTAGCACCCACTTTCAGCTCTGGCAGTGGAGCATATCGGGGTGATCTGCAAGGAGCAAGGAAGGGATGAGCAGCTGTCAAATGCCCCGGCCGGGCGTGGGGGGAAGGCAGACCCCCACTCATTTCGGGAACACAGAGCTGACCCTCAGCACCAGGGCCCAGGCCGGTCAAGGTGTCGCTGAGTGACACAGCCACACCTGCCACCCTGGTCACCACCCTTCCTACAGGGAGGAAGAAGGCTTCCTGGCACCGTGCTGGCTCCCAACCGGGCAGGGACCCAAGGGAAGGGCATTCGAATGCACAGAGCTGAGGACAAATCCAAGGATGGAAGACAAGGTGTTCAAAACTCAAGCTGCTGGAACTGGGCTCACATGATGCTGCCTGCCTGTCATCCCAGCATTTGGGAGGCTGAGACAGGAAGACTGCTGTGTACTTGAGGCCAGCCTGGGATACACAGTTCAAAAGCCAGCCTGAACTACACAGCAAGACCCTGTTTCAAAAAACTAAAATGAAACAAAACAGAATACTCAAGTTGTTGGCTCTAGGAGCTTCGAAGTGACATACACAGCAGAAACGCATCAAGTCGTGCATTTAGGGTTTGCGCATTTTATTACACATAAACAAACCTCAATTAAAACCACAACACAACCCTTTCTCTCCCCCAGGGCTGGAGACGGATCTCACACATGCCAGGCCCCAAACCTGTCTCCTACAAGGCTTCCAAGCACTTCTGGGAGCCTGGCCCAGGCTCTGCCCCTCCCCAAAGCAATGCTGAAGCAGGCTTCTTCCTTCGCGTTCAGGGACCACACAGGCTCCCCCACATGCAGCCTGGCTAAGACAGAAACCTGGTTCAAAGAAGTAAGACGTCCCCTTTCCTTAGAAAGTCACTCTAGAAAGGGTGTCGAGCCCACTTACTTCATAGATTTTCGAGGACGGATCGAGCTTTGCTGCCTGGGAGATGTGGGCCCGGTGTTCTAGCGAAGGCAGGAACTGCACAAGGGAACACCACAGAAACGGCTGAGGCCCTTCAGGCGGCTAACCGAGGCCCACCTGGACACCAGGGACGCCTGGACCCCCGGGACCCGGGCCTGCCCTCTCCAGAGACTTGCTGTTGCTCCTCGGTAAGAGGCACAGGGAGCTCAGGAACCTGTGGGGATGCACAGCAGCTACTCACCATCCTGAATGGGTTTTCAAAGGACTCCATGATGTTCTGGGCCTTTTTCTGTGCGACCGTTAGTGGAGTCTTTCCATTCTCCTCAGCACTGGGTTCCTGCAGGGACAGACGAAAACCGATCACGATCGTGTTGTGACACCAGCATGCAAGCCTGGCCCGTAAGAGTAATGCCGACATCGGTGGCTACGCTCTCCGAAGCTCTCCTGTGGACAAGGCCCTGTGCCCGTGACGGCAGTCAGGTGCAGCATGTACATGTCTGTGCCACTGTGCCCGCCGCTCTCACCACCTGACAGCTGCGTACTGAGGCTTGGAGAGGTCATGGAAATCTTTCAGAGCCTTTGGCTAGTGTAGTAGAATAGGGATTTAAACTCAGATCTGCTTGAGGCCTTAACTGATGCCTGAAATTTAACAGTATATATCTTTCTGGGGAATGAACGGAATCTGTAACAGTGTCCTTCCCTAAAATGTGTGCAATGTTTGCTCAATCTGCGGTTGTGTTCCCTTGTATCAGAACCCAGCAGGGCTGTGTCTGTGCCTGCAGTTTGTATCAACAGCCTTCACTGCTGAATCTCCTGATGGCTGTTAACCCGGTGCTTAGGAGGCTGAGGCAAAAAGATTGAAAGTGAGCGCAGCTGGGGGAATTCATTGTCTTAGCAAGACCTTGGCTCAAAATAAAAAATAAAAAAGGGAATGTAGCTCAGTGCTAAGGCTCTGAGTTCAATCTCCAGGACCAGAAGCAAAAAAACAGAAACACCCAAACCCTAAAGCTCCTACACGGTGGTGGTGGTGCTAGGCATTGACCCCAGGCCCTCACACGTACTAGGCAAGTGCTCAGCTACTGAGCTACACTCCCAGGCGAGGGTATTTGTTTCTGCAGTGCTTGGGACTGAGGCCAGGGCCGGGCACACGTAGCTGTGAACTACTTCCCCATCTCTTCTTATGAATGGTGGAAGCAAGACCCAACCTAAATTCATGTGATTAACTTAGAAATGCGTATGAAGTCCAAGCCAGCACATCCTGCGGGTGACATTCCATCCCCCTCAACACTGGGACGATGAGATGGCTGTGATTTTAATCCTATAGCTTCTGTATCTCAGCTTTTTAAAATTATATGCTTCTGGTATTGGGGTTTGAGCCCTCTGCCTCACATTTTTTATTTTTACTTTGATATTTATTTATTTATTTATTTATTTATTATTTTTACTTGAGACAAGGTCCAACTAAGTTATCCACTATGGCCTCGAACTTGTAATCTTCCTGCTTCAGTCTCCTGGTAATGGGGTTATTAGTCTGCAGCTCGGCTCATGGCTCTGTGCGGCTTTATCATCCAAGCATTCAGTATGCCTGACACCTGCTCTTATCTAAGATGGGTAATATTCTTGTTTCTCAGCTCTTTCTGAAAATCACCTCCCCGCTTTCTCGAAGTCTATAGTCCTCAGACCTTCACCAGTGTGCTTTCCTTTCATCTCTGCTTACTTCAGTATGAAGCTGTCCTGCCCGGTGGATGCACTCAGGCCTTCCTTTTGCAAGGAGCCCAGAGTTCTGATCCCCGGTAGCCGGACGGGGACAGACAGGAAGGTGCTGTTGCAGCCCTGTGCACATCCCAGGAGCCTCGCCCAGCCCGTGAGCCAGCAAGTTCTCCAGGATGGGCAGTCACTAATGACAGTCTTCCCCAAAAGCACCTGTAGCTGGTGCCGGATGCGGTCAGGCACACGCAGCCTGGCTCCGTGTTTAGCACACAGAGACTCACTGCCCTTGCGGAGCCCCAAGGACCGTCCCTCTGCTGTGGCTGCCTGAAACCGCTGCTCTGCCACCTCAGCCCACACCCTCCTCCCTCCAAGCAACCATCCCTTGAAGGCTGCTTCACACACAGTGCTCATAGGAGGAGCCTCCCCCGAGTGCTCGCTTCTCCACGCCGCTCCCCATGCTGCAGTTTTCCCTCTGCCACGGTGTCAGAGGTGTGTGCAACCCTCCAGCCAGAGCCCTTTCCCTGCTATGGTCTGGGGCAGGCACCAGGGCCTCATGTGCCAGCAAGTGCTCCACCAAGCTGCAGCCCGGCCCCTCAGCCTGCGGGGTAAACCCCACAGACCCAAGGATCTGTCTCTGCGCCTCAGCGGAGCTTTCCCATACTCACGCTGAGTACGGTGACGACAGCTTTGGCGAGAAGGCACTGGGTGTCCAGCGGAGTCTCCTCTTTCGGGTCAGCAAAGAGGCTTGCCTGCTTCCGCGCTGGCACGGGCCCTGGAGGTGTGGGAGTCGGCAAGCTCAGAGCTGCAAGCTGTCGGCCCAGGCGGTGGCCCACCTCCTTCGGCATCCACAGGGAGGCCCCCACCTTACCAGCAGCGGGGGTGACTGGGTAGCTATCCGGAGGGGCGTGAGAGCAGTCGTGAGGTCCAAAGAGAACATTCTCCAGCCTCTGTATCAAAGAGGAGCCAGCGAGCCACATGTAAGACTTGCATGCAAGCCAAGAGCACTCAGCCGGTACACTCAGAGCTAGCCAGGCCTGTTGGGCCCATCTGTGCCCGCTCACCCCACCCGCCAGGGCGGCACTCTACCTCAACACCGGGCCGTGGTCCGCTCTTCTTCACTCCAGCTGTAGTCTCAGACTAGGGAAGAAAGGAGGCGATTGAGGAAGACTGTTCAAACTCAACGACAAGGGGTTCTCCCTGCAGACTGCGCTGCACCATGAGGAGCCCCTCAAAGAGCCTGAGACGCCCTCCCCTCCCCTCCTCCTGTTCTCACTTCCGCGCCTGACATGATTCCAGAGCCAGGAGGGAGGACCTTCTCCAGCAGCCACAAGCTCTACCTGGACAAACTACATAGCTAGGGAAGACCTGGTTTTCCTTCGGCGGTACACAGCAAAGAACCTCACGATTCCTTGCACACAATGGGCAAGCACTGTACCGCTGAGCTACACCCCAGCCCAGGAAGACATGTTAACATTTCTTTCTGCCCGAAAGACTGCAGATATCTTTATTATCAGATGATTCTTTTCTTTTGCTTGTTTTCTTTTTCTTTTTCTTTTTTTCCCCTGGTACTGGGAATCGAACTCATGACCTCGCGCTTGCCAGGCAGGTACTGCGCCACTGAGCTAAATCCCCAGCCCCTTTTTGCTTGTTTTCTTGAGACAGGTTCTCACTATGTAGCCCAGGCTGGTCTCAAATTTACAGTGATCCTCCTGCTGTGGCCTCCTGAGTGTTGGGATTATAGGCAGTGCCACAATGTCTATTTCTCAGATGATTCTTTGATTTTGGCTTTCTGGGTCAATAATTTTTCAAACAATTACAAATATGCCTTATCACCTACCAATACTACTACTGAACCAAACTGCTTAGAATTATTGCAGTAAGGGCTAGATGCAGCTCAGCGGTCCAGCACCTACCTTGTAAGAGCAAGGCCCTGCATTCAGTCCCCAGTACTCCCCCAACCAAAAAAAAGAAAAAAGAAAAACTGTTCCATTAAAACACAAACCAACTGAACACTTACTCTATTTTATGAAATAAAATGTTGCCCAGTTGCATAATGGGAAGCAAAGCCAACTAACATATTTAAACAAAACAAAAAGATCTCAATACAACCCAGTGTGGGAAAAAGGTTTGTCAGCTGTTCCTCAGACAAAAGATTACTATTGAGAACATATAAAGAACTAAAAAAAACCAGACCTCCCAAATTTAAAGACCCAGTTCAAAAATGGGCATCTGAGATGAATACATGCTTCTCAGATAAAGAAATACAAACAGCAAATAAATATATGAAAAAATGTTCAACATCACTGGTCATTCGAGAGATGCAAATTAATTCAACACTGAGATTCCATCCCACCCCGGAAAGAAAGAAATCAACCAATAACAAATGGTGGCTGGGCTGTGTGGAAAAAGGAACCTTTCTACATTGTTGGTGGGAATGTAGACTGGTGCAACCACTGTGGAAATCAGTGTGGGTATTCCTCAAAAAACTAGGATTGGAGGTCCCATCTGACCCGGCTATTCCCCTTCTGGGTATCTTCCCAGATATAGAACACAGCAATGTATGTGCATCCATGTTTACAGCAGCACAATTTGTAATAGCTAAATCTTGGAAATAAGCCAAATGTCCATCAATCGAGGAATGAAAAAAGATGTGGTCTTTTTATACAACGGAGTATTACACATCCATAAAGAAGGATGAACTGGAAACTTATCTAGGTAAATGGATGAAACCTGAGACCATATTCATAAGTGAAATAAACCAGATGTCCATGTGTAAACACTGTATTGTCTCCCTAGTGTGAGAAACTGAAAGAGTAAATAAGATCCAAAATACACAATATTATAAAATGGGAAGAAACTTCAAAAGGAAAGAGAAACTGGAATGGGGGAATGGAGAAAAGAAGGGAAAACCGAAAGGCAAAAAAATATATATAAAAAAATAGTTAAGATAGTTACACTACTACTTTCTTTTAGTTCATTGAAAAAAAAGTTTGTAGTAATATTGTTTCAGCAATTAAATGATATCTTGTACCCTGAGTAACTAACTTAAAGATAACAATATGTAATGTATTAACCATTGTTACCCTCCTATTATCTTGTTTTGAAATTTTTATTTATTTTCTCTTAAAAAAAACCCACCTCAATGAAAACATGCAAAGCTAGTATTACCCTCTGCATCACCTGCATAGCACAGGCACTTGTGCACCTTCCGATGCATTACACACTCAGACATGTATCTGAATTGTCAGTGACATGCCCCACTTTCATGTAAACTTGTCTGAACTTCAGCATCTCCTTCACAAAGCCAGCCCTTCTTGAATTCCTGACTCTATCCATGGTTCTCATCACTTCCCTCTCACCTGGGCTTTCAATTTGGAGTGAGCTGGCTGTGCATGCTGGCACACGCTTGCAATCCCAGCCGTCCAGAAGGATTGTAAATTCAAGCCCAGCGTAGGCAGCTCAGCCAGACTGTGTCTCAAAAACAGCGCTGGGGAAACAGCTTAGTGTGAAGGCCCTGGGTTCAGGGCTCAATACAACAAAACAGAACAAGAAACACGTACGGTAAATGGTCCTGGACTCCACCTTCATTCTCTTCAAACCCATTTGCTGTCTGGGAAGGACTGCAACAGTATTTAGTGCCCCAAACCGAGTGGCAGCCCTTTCCACCACCCGTTACCACGGCCCCTCTTCTGACGCTCCCTGCATCTCTCCCTTCCACTCTGTGACCACCACGTGCGCTCGGCACTTGCTTCCTTCGTGGCCTGCTGCCAGGCTTCCAAGGCACGCGCCCTGTGCTGAGAACCTACCTCCACCTCACTCTCACCCTAACTGCTTTGTTGAAACAGCTGACTGGCCCAGTTACTAGATGTTCGCTGCACCATCAATAAGGTCATAAAGTACGAGGATGAGTTTTAACTCCTGACCATCATAAAGAAAACGAAGGGGCTGGGGATGCAGCTCAGTAGTACAGCATGCACAAGGCTGCTGGTTCAACCCCAGCCCCCCACCCAGTATAAGCTGACGAAGACCCATTCACTGGATTTCCAAATTTTTGCCTCGTATAGGTTGTTTAGGATGGAGAGCAGCTCAGGAACACAGGAGACCACGAGGAAAGTGTGAGCAGAAAGAACTGGCCTGTGGGTCAGGGCCTTGGAGCAGAAGCACTGGCTTCTTACCTTGAGCAGGGGCATCTCTCGAGCCTGCCGGATTAGAAGGTGCATCTCATTGATCTGCTGCCGTACAAGAGGCGGTACTGGGTTGCAGCAAGCTATGATGCCCTGCGGTTCCCTGGAGACAAGAACACACTCAATTCACTACAGAAGCACAGCCCACAAGAGTGCCTGAGCTCCTGAGAGGCTGCGGTGGGAGGATCCTAAGTGTGAGCCCAACCTGGGAACATAGTGACTCCGCGAGAGCCTGTTTCAAAATATGTAAAAAATAAAAAGGGCTGGGACGCAGTTCAGTGTGAAGGCCCTGGGTGCAATCCCCAGTACTGGGGGAAAAAAAAAAGAGAAAAAAGGATAATGACTGCACAGGGAAGAGCTCCACGGCTAAGCTGCAGACCCAGAAGACAGACTGTGTCAAGGCAGGCCCTGGGCAGCCACCGCCCATGAGCTTGGGTGCACCAGGCTCTCAGCCTGACTGTGCAACAGGCGGGGCTGGAGATGAGCAAGCAGCCCTGCTGGTCCTCCGGCCCGCAGATACGGTTCCTGCTTATGCAGGAACTCAGGTCCCAACAGACTGCAGATACGGTTCCTACTTATGCTTCAACTCATGTCACAAAATGCTTAAGATCACCAGCCCTCCACTTGAGAAAAGTACAGATGAGAGAACTGGAGAGGTTTCCTCCCTAAGTGGCTGCCAGAGGCTCGGAGACTGACACCGAACTTCATTAAGGCACAGTCACCAGGACTTCTCACTTCACAGGTGTCAGTGCTCGCAAGGCAGCCCTTGGGCTGACGTGCGGGACTTCTTGGACTTCTACCTTCTGAGCCTAGAGGGCTAATCTTCTCTGAGAACACAGCCTGAGGAAGAGAAGTCAGCAAAGCCTGAACTGAAGGACAGGAGGTGTACGGCGGAGGTCAGACTCAGCCCTTAGACTCACTTAGGCAGCTCCTCAGCTATCTTGAGCATCATGTGGTTTGGCAGAACGTATCTGGAAGCAAACACAACAGGACCACGTGAAATTCAGCCAGCAAGTTCCATTCAGTGCTACAACATGGGGGCAACAACCAGCCTTCACGGCCAAAGGGAAAAAGTCCCGCTCCCCTGTTACCACATCTGCTTAGCCCAGAAGCAAGTGTTAAGGATTCTCAAGTCCTTTACCCGTAGCTCTCGTCCTCCGTGCGAGCTGTTTTGTCCCTCCAGGCAAACAGCAGCTGGAAAGCTGTCAGCTGCTGCGAGTTGAGATGCTTCTTTTGCTTCCGGTACAGTTCAAGATAGGACTCGTCAGTGAAGATCGGTTTGACGAATTTCTGCAAAACCCAGAGAACATTCAAGGTGAGTGGAATCGAAATTGTTCCCTGGGCTCCCGAAAACATTTGGCTCTTGTCACAGATCTAAGGAGCAAAGGTGGGAACCAGACCCTAGTCAGACACGGGCAGCTCGTGTGCTGGGGTTTGTGCGGCGCTGCAGGCTGTACCTTGAGACAGATATCCCTGCTCCGCTGCCACACCGCCTGCAGCTGGGCAGGCTGCTCGTTGCCTCGCTCCCAGAGCTCCAGCCGCATCTTGTCATAGATGTACAGCAGATAGTGGGTGTCGTCCCGGGCGTAGCTGAACATTTCCTCTGGCAGGGGCCTGAAATTGCAGCGTGGGATGTGGCTTCAGCAACTGTCCCACGGACAGCGATCCCACCCACTGGTGGGTGCTAGGACTTTCTGGAGCCACCTGATATCAGTGATTCTCTCACAGCTAGTACTCTGGCCGCAAGGGCATTTCCTACACCAAACTGTTACTACGACAGCTGGCGGAGGGGAAGGCAGGGTAATGATATGGTTAGAATGAGGCCCCAAGCTCTACTTGTCTGATCTTGGGCAAGTTCCTCAACCTGAGTGTCACTGGCCTCCCTTGTGACATGGTGACAAGCATTTCACAGGCTGCTGTGAGGATGACACGGAACACCTCTGAAGAACTCAGTCCAGGGGAAGGGCTCAACAGCAGGGACTGATTTTCAGAAAATTAATACATTTTCTTCTTGTATTTGGACTCTCCCTCCACCCACCCCACCCACCCATGTACTGGGGATTGAACCTAGGGAGTGCTGAGCTACTTCCCCATCCCTGTAAAATTTTTAAATTTTGAGACAAGGTCTCACTAAGTTGCCCAGAATGGGTTGGAACTTGTGATCTTCCTGCCTCAGCCTCCCAAGTTACTGGTATTTCAAGTGCATACCACTGCACCTGGCCCTGTTATATTTCGAGTTTCTACTACTACTACTAGTTCTTTGCACTGAACCTAGGCTTTTCGCACTCAGCTACATCCCAAACCCTTTAAATTTTTTCTATTTTAATACAGGGTTGCACTAAGGCACAAAGCTGCCCAGGCTGGGCTTGAACCTCCTCCTTCAACCTCCCAGAGTGCTGGGATTACAGGTGTGTGCTACCACATGTGGCTTCTTTTCATTTCTGCTATTTAGAAAGCCTGGCTTGTGGAGCTGGAGAAAAGCCTGGTGACGTGTTCACGTGACCCTGCAGCCCATGGAGGCAGCCTGTCCCTGAAAGTGCTCAGCCGGGCAAGGCTTCCCGAGACTGTGACTGGCCTGTGCGACAACAAACGCAAATGCCAACCCGAAGGCACAGTGCACTCAGCTTCTCGCACACATCCAACCACTCCTGCCAGAGAGCCGAGCTGCCCAAGGCCACTGGACACGGCACATCTTCCCAGCAGGCTGAGTACATCAGTCAGCCCCATGTAAACTGCACATCACCACCCTGAAGTTTCCTATTGCTTTTGTGCTGCAGAGAACACCTGCAGAGAAGCCTGGCGCCGTGCATCCCCAGGTCAAACAGGGCTGCAGCCTGAGCCCGGGCTCCGTGCTGAGACATTAACGACTGCCCGGCTTTCTTTGCCACCCACGCCTCCTCCTCAAGTGCAGCTAACCGTATCCTCCAGTCTGCCAGCTGGTACTGCTTGTTGGACTCCACGCCACAGTACAGCCTCAGCAGGTGGTCAAGCGAGTGCCTGCCCAGGTTGAGAAGGCGTGCGGCCTGATGGGTATCGAACATGTTCACCACGTACAACCCAAAGTCCTTCTGCAGCCACTCGATGTCGGAATCGGCACCATGGAAGACCTGAAACGACACCAAAGCCATGCTGTACTCCACAGAAGGAGGCGCTCGTCTCTGAGTTAACTGTATCTCCAGCTTATTGGAACACTAGAAATGGAAGCAGTATGACAGCGAGACATATACAGTTTTAAATGCTTAATTTGGGCTACAGCCTTCATCTGTCCTCCTAATTGTACACAGTTAAGGGCTGAAACTGCTACCAGCCAAAAGTCTGGGGAAGTAGCACGATTAGCTCCAACAGTGTCTCTAAGTCCAAGCAATGCTGATGGCTGCAGTGCTCAGCCTGATGATTTACCACGTTTCTGGTGGTAATGAGCTACAGCTGAGCTGTTCCCACAGCGTTTACAGACTAGCAATTAGCATGTGGAGGCAGGTACTGGGAAGGGCTGGCTGACCTTCACGATGGCAGGGTTGGTGAGGCTCTCGTTGAGAATGTACATGTCGCTGCGAAGCTCCAGGGTGTCCACAATGAAGTCTTCTGTGCGGGTGGAAATCTGCATCAGGCAGGTCAGTCCTAGGAAGCTTCTGTAAGAGTGGTGCTAACACGGGTACAAAAGGGAGTGGGAAAATGACATCACTAGGCTTTCCTCGACCGACCTGGAGAAGTCAGCTAGAGGAAAGCTACACGATTAACTATTAACAAAGAAACAGGTGAAATCAGTGCTAGTTTTATATTTCTCAAGTAGGTGAACTCATAGAAAATGTAAGAAGTCCACACTCTAGTTCAATTACAAGATACCTCCAAGTCTACAGCAAATGCTTCACAATTCAGGAGCTTCTCGTTGAGTTCCACAAGTCCGTCCAGGGAGGACACAAAGTGGCAGGGAGTTTCTTCTACAGGTCTGTATAACTGGAGTGAGAAAGCACAGCACAGTGAGAAAAAGGTGACCTTCAAAACCACCGCCGCTGAAGTACACAGTGAATTATGCAACCAAGAAACATCAAGCCATACCGTTCTACTTTAAAGACACTCAAGGAGTGGTAAAGTTACAGCAAATAATTGACTGACTTCCTTCTTCAGGCTCCGCAGATAACCTTAAACTAAGGCGGGGGCACTAACCTGGGGTTGTGGCTTTTGAAGCACCGAGTCTGGTGGAGTAAAGTGATCCAGTTCATACTGATAAGGATGTGCAAACCTGAATGAATAAATAAAACAGAGATCTTCTTAATTCCATGATTCATAGGAGAAACACCCACTCTAATCCAGTTTGTAAAAACAAGTGAGGAAAGACAGGTTGTTATGAAAACCTCTTTATAATATAAAGCATTGTATCAGGCATGGCGGTGCACACCTGTAATCCCAGCACTCGGGAGGCTGATGCAGGAGGATCGCTGTGAGTTTGAGACCAGCCTGGGCTACAAAATGAGCTCAAGGCCAGCCTGAACTGCATAGTGAGACCCTGTCTCAAAAAGACCAAAAAAAAAAAAAAAGCATCACAATTGCAGTATTTATTCGAGTGCATCAAATAAATCAGTTGATACCTGATTACCCCCTACACCATGCCCGTCCTGTTTTTGGTTTTTTGAGATAGGGTCTCCCTAGGAGATTCAAACTGGCCTTGAACTCAGTGATCCTCCTGGTTCAGCCTCCTAAGTGCTGGCATGCTTTACCAGGCCCTGCAGCTTTACAAACATTTGAATATTTATTTGCAAAACACTGTACGGATGATGCTGTAGATAATATAAACATGGTAAAATGAGTTGGGCACAGCACGCACATGTGTAATGCCAGCATTTGGGAGGCTGAGGCAAGATCTAGGCAGTATGAACTAGATCATTTCACTACCTAGCAAGACCCTGTCTCAAATAAATAAATAAACAAATAAATAAATAAAAATGTACAATGCCTTATGGTGTGCAGTATCAAGTTTGTAAAGTTAGAAAGACGTGCAAATATTTGAGTTGGCCAGGCGCTAAATGTTAAGTTTTTTTGTCCCTCTTTCCTGTATTTCCATAAAAACCCCAAGTCTGAGCTGAGTGCAGTGGTGCACACCCGTTATCCTAGCACTCTAGGAGGCCGAAGCAAGAGAACTACAAGTTGGAGCCGAGCCTGAGCAACTTTGTGAGACCCTCTCTCAAAATGAAAAATGAAAATGAGCTAGGGATGTAAAACAGTGCAAAGGTCCTGGGTTCAATCCCCAGTACTACGAAAAGAGGGAAACTAGAACAAAACAGTCCTGACTCTTCGGTGAGTCCCGTGAGATAGGCACCACCCTTCAGTGCCTCTCCTTTCCTAGCGCCTGGCCTGTGGCCTTCCGAAGCGGAGGCAGCCGAAGGAACGGGTGCACGAGTGGATGGACCAAACGGAGAAGACGGCCAGCGCCAGCAGGTCTAACCCGCTTTCATCACTACACTGAAGTCCATCTTTTACTTTCGGTGGTGGTTCTGGGTAGCAAACCCAGGGCTTGCCATGCTAAGCACACACTCCGCCACTGAACCACACCCCCAGGCTATTTGTCTATTTTAAGCAAAGTTGTCCCATGATGCTCATGCTGCAGTGAAAAACCCCTCTTCATGCTGAATTTGTTAGTGAGCTCCTCCTCCTGGGGCAGTGCTGTGCAGGCCCCGAGAGCACAGCAGGAGGCTCAGCCACGGCCCGCGGGAGACGAGGTAAAAGCCCTGCTCCTCAGGCTCTGTCTGTACATTCTATAAAAGGGAAGAAACCAAGTGCAAATGGGGCTGGAAGGTGGGCAGAGAGCTCAGACCCCAGCACTTACATGTCCTGCTCAATCTGCTGCGTTCGCTGCTGATGGATGAAATCTGCCAGGGCAGGGGGCACATCCAAGTCCTCAGGCCGGTCCTGGGGGCGTTCCCGCCTTTCCTTAGAGAGAACTGGAGACCCAAGCAGTGACAATATCATCAAAAAAAGGATGCACACCTTCCCGTCTTTCCCAGCTTTGGAGGGGTACCTGACTCCCTCTGAAGACAGGAGACAGGCAGAGACCGTCCTGCTCTAGGCTGCCTTTTGCAGCAGGCTGGAGGACAGACTCCAACACAAACAGGGGCAGCGCTGCTCACCCTGAGGGAGGGGCTTCTGGGCATTGGGCTTGATGAAGATCTTAGGGAGAAACGGCGTGTTGGAATTGTCGATCTTCTCTCGGAACTTGAGCTGAGGCCGGATGATATTTTTGGCATGAAGCAGCCGGAAGGTTTCGGATTTGGCTTTTTTGCCATATTCTCCTGCCTATGATCAATGTATACAAATATGTTTTAACATAGCAACTTGATGAATTAGAAAAGCAAACTGCAATTTCTGTCTTCCAAGGAGACAACAGCCTCATTCTAAGACCCATTCCCTGACTCAGACTGCACTGTGTTTACGAGAAGAAGCTAGAGCAGGCAGTGCCAGTTCTGTGTCCAGGAAGTGCAAACAGAAATGCCAATTAGAATGGCCGAAGCTCTGCCGTAAGGCTCGCAACAGGAAGGAGCTCTAGTTAGCCCGCAATGCCACCCTCACCTTCCGGTTCCAGCTGGACACTACTGTTTTGGGGACCTCGAGGCCTGCAGGGAGGACCGGCTGCTGATGCTTATTCACACCCGACGCTTCGTCCAGTAAAATACCCTGAAAGGAGGGAAGGCATTAGGTAACTGCTTTCCTTAAGGTTAACAAAGCTAATCACTTGACATTAAAAAAAATACATTTACAGACTTATGTGTAAGACTATACATACAGATGAATGGATCACTGATTGTATCAAATCATGCCGTACATCAGAAATGTATTTGTTACAAAAAATTAAAAATTTTTAATTTTTGTTTTATTAGTGTATGTTTACATTACCTAATGACTACATTCCTTGTGGGGAGTTGGTACATATACATAAAACATCTTAATTCTTGTTAAAAAAATTATTTAAAAAAGTGTATCACTAGGCTGGGTGTGTTTTTGTACATGTAAACCCAGCAACTGGGAGGCTGAGGCAGGAGGATCATCATGAGTCTGAGACCAGCCTGGGCTACATAGTGTGTTCAAGGCCAGCCTGAGCTACACAGCAAGACGGTGTCTCAAAAAACAAAGAAACCAAAACATCACAAAAAAGTGCGCATCACTATATGAGTGGCAATTAGAAAGTGATACCAAGTAATAAACATGTGCTTAAGGGCAGGCAGAGCAATAATCACTCCCAAATATGACTGACTACAGCTGAGAACTGGGCTGAAAACTCAAACATGATTTAACAGTGTGATGTGGCAATAAAGTAAAGGTAGAAGATTAACTACATTAAGCTCAGCCATAGACGTGCTGGGCATGTGGCTCGTGACAGCGTGCCTGCCTAGCAATGCACAAGGCACCAGGCTTCATTCCTGGCACTGAGGGAAAACTGAAGCAGCAGAGTATTTAGAATGAGCACAGAGGTAGGCCTGATTAGTCTGCAGATGTGGAGGGTCAGTTTTGGGTACTACCAACGGAAGCGCACACCAGTGAGAGAGGACACTGTCCCTGGACTTGAAATAAGATGACAGAAGAATCCAGTAAAACAATGTGTTGGGCATCAGACTGAGCAGAGATGACTTCACAGGAAGGAAGAGCACAATTTCACTATCTCCAGGACTGTCACTGGTAGAAGATTAGATTTATTCTGGATGACCTGTTTAATTCTGTAAGTAATGTTCTGCTATAGAGTAAGGAATAGGTTGAAGATAAGCTAGACAGGATAATACAGTACTCCTTCCATCCTGTGGGGTGGGGTGTTCGGCACACTGTGAATAGCAGTAAGAATGGACTAAGTTTTGGCTGGGCTGGTACAGAGGCCTCTTCTAATACAAACCAAATTTGCACATTAGAAAGGTAGATTTGTAAGCAGACACTTAAATAGGCTTCTATAGGAATTTTTTTTTTTTTTTTAAGATAGTGTCTTGCTATGTAGTTCTAGCTGGTCTTGAACTTCTTATGTAACCCAGGCTGGCCTTAACTTGCAGTGATCCTCCTGCCTCAGCCTCCTGAGTGCTGCGATTACAGATGTGTGCCACAACACCCAACTTTTTTTTTAAGAGCACTGATATTCTGAAGACAACTGCAGTTACTTTCAAGCAAAAAGATGCCAGTTACTGGAAGAAGGGGAGGTTATGCCTGGTACGAAATGCTAAACTCATTTCTTTTTCATTTTCTAAACTGCGTGGCGAAGCTCCAGTGGCGCAACTTGTTAGTGTGCGGTACTTGTATAAAGTGCTTGGATTTCTCTTTAGATTTTAATATAAAAAGCTCTGTTTGTTAGTTCATGCAAGTGTGTGGTGAAGTACTCACCACTCTCTCTAGAATCACATCGTTGGTATCAACTAGCAAATCGAACTTGTCCTCCAACTCAGTCGCTTTGCTTCGGTCCTTAATGTTGCTCCGACACCCATGATACTGCATCACCCTACTCATGCTGAGAAAGGAAACGCACCGTCAGTCTGGGGGCCTTTATTTCATTTGCTGAGAATATGGGGGAAAACTTACATGGCTGGCTCAGACCACTCCCAATATTTTTTGATCAACCTAATGAAACCTATACCCTACAGCAACCTTTAAAAACCAATGCCTGGTTTATTTCACTTAGGAGTATATGCACATGTGTAAACATCGTATTGTCTCTCTAGTGTAAGAAACTGAAAGAGTAAGTAAGATGCAAAAGGTACAGCAGATATTGTGAAAGGGAAAGAAACGGCTCAAAAGGAAAGAACAACTGGAATGGGGAAAGGAGAAAAGAAGGGAGAGAAAAATATACATATACACACACACAAGATAGCTAATACAATTGTACAACTAATTTCTATTCATTGAAAGGAACACGTAGTGCTTATATTGTTTGATCAATCTTACACGCCTATATTTTGTAATCTGAGCAACTACTTTGAAGATAACAACATGCAATAACCGTTGTTAATTTCCTATCGTGTTGTTTTGAAATTGTGTATAGTTTTTAATTTTTTTTTTCTCTTAAAAAAAAAATAGCCAAAAAACCCAAATGAACAAAACAAAACAACCCCAATGCCTGAGGGCTGGGCACGGAGCTCAGGGGTAGAGCCTGTTCTTGGCCTGCTCAAGGCCTGGGGCTCCATCCCCAGCACCAAAAACAAACACTGCCTATACGGCAATGGCAAAGATGAATGTATTTTTTGTTGTTGTTGTTGTTGTTTTTTTTTTTTTTTTCTGGTACCAGGAATTGAACTCACAACCTTGCGCTTGCCAGGTAGGCACTGTGCCACTGAGCTAAATCCCCAGCCCGGCAAAGATGAATGTAAACAAGAAAAATACGATTTTTGATTTTAAAAGTTTTTAAAAGTAAGTAGGCAGAGTGTGGTGGTGCACAGTAGTCCCAGCACTTGGGAGGCTGAGGCAGGAGGGTTGCTGTGAGTTTAAGGCCAGCATGTACTACACACTCAGATGCTGTCTCAAAAAAAACCAAAAAAAGGTAAGTAATACTGCTAATGGTGTAGCCTTGTGCAATTTACTACATCTTACTAAGACTTTACTCCTCTGTAAGTTTTTAAAAATTTTTTTTTATTTTAAAGAGTAAAAGAAGGATAACATAATACTAGGGGGGGCTTACCAAATTACAAAGTGGCAGGAAATTATCAATGGTTATTGTTTTACATATTGTTATCTACAAGATAGTTTCTCAGGAAAACAAATAGACAAATAGTGAGTTACAGACAAAAGAGGTAGATTATCAATAGTTGTACTATACTTTGGTATCTTCAAAGTGGCTTCTAAAGAAAATAAATAGAACTATACCTGAGTGACCTACTGAATAATCATTAACTATTCTCAATGGTTGTTGTAGGAAACACATAATAATAAACATGCATCCATTATTCCTCTGTTAATTGAAGATATAAGCTGTGCGTGGTGGCGCATGCCTGTAATCCCAGCACTCAGGAGGCTGAGGTAGGAGGATCTTTGCGAGTTCAAGACCAGCTTGGGCTACAAAGTGAGCTCAAAGCCAGCCTGAACTGCATAGCAAGACCCTGTTTCAAAAAGACAAAAAAAACCCAAACACCTCAAAGCTTCCTTAAATTCTAAAAAAACCATATGACACTATCTAAAAAATGGGACTCTGCATTTTATCCCCCAATACCAGGGACTGAACCCATGGCCTTTGCACTGAGCTACATCTAAGCCCTTTTCTATTTAGAGGTTAAGATTTCATTAAACTGCCCATCATACTGAGCCAAAACTTTCTCTTTTTGGGGCGCAGGGGTACCGGAAATTGAACTCAGGACCTCATGCTTGCCAGGCAGGCGCTGCACCGCTGAGCTATATCCCTGGCCCTGAGCTCAAACTGTCAATCCTCTGCTGACTCAGCCCCCAAGAATACTAGGATTCCAAGCATGTGCCACCAAGCCCAGCAGCATTAATTATTTAACATGGGAGATCTAATCCTGTCATGTAACAGTTAAAATTAACGTTTATGTATTATCTGTCCTAATACCTTTATTTTCAGTTGTTTTGTTTTGTTTTGGTTTTCTGAGATAAGGTCTCACTATGTAGTTCAGACTGGCCTTGAGTTCACAGTGATCCTCCTGCTTCAGCCTCTTGAGTGCTATGATTATAGGTTTGTGCCACCATGCCCAGTCACCTTTTTTTTTTCCTCTTTATTTTCATTTCTTTCGCTAACATATAAAGAGGTGAAAAAAATTATTCACCTCTTTAGTTTCATTTCTTTCACTAATTTAAGAAAAGAAGCTGGGCGTGGTGGCACATGCCTCTAATCCCAGCACTTGCCTGTAATCCCAGCACTTGCCTGTAATCCCAGCACTCATCTGTAATCCCAGCACTCACCTGTAATCCCAGCACTCACCTGTAATCCCAGCATTTGGGTGGCTGAGACAGGAAGATGTTTGCGAGTTGGAGACCAGCCTGGGCTACAAAGTGAGCTCAAGGCAAGGCTGAACTACATAGCAAGACCCTGTCTCCAAAAGGCAAAAAAAAAGAATACATGGTACTTACCACTGGAGCAACCTGTCCCCCTGTGTTTCACAAAACGCCTGGAAGCCAGGAAAACTTCGGTAAAAGTCATACTCGTCACCAAACTGTGGCAGGCCTCCAGACGCCTTGGTGACTGCCACCACCGACCCAAGAGCAAACTGTCAAAACCAAGGAAAGAGGGTACATTTTAAACACGGATCTTCCTTCAGTAAATCACTGTTTTGAAGACCTACTATACCTTGTATATAGCATATGCGGTGCTAGACAATAAAGGTCTTCACTTATTCATCCATCCAACACATTTCATTTCTTGTGACTCACCCCCAAGCCCTTTTCAGCCCTGAGGATTCAATGGTGAGCACAAAACCAAGTTTGGGGCTTCCATCTTTGGAAGAGCAAGGAGAAAGAAAAATACATACGCAGTCCCGTGTTCCTTGATAACTAGCATATGTTCTGAGAAATACATCAAGTGATTCTGAAATCATGTGAGCATAGAGCATACACACACTAAAATGGTTATAGGGGCTGGGGATTTAGCTCAGCGGCACAGCGCCTGCCTGGCAAGCACGGGGTCGTGAGTTCAATTCCCGGTACCAGAAAAAAATAAAAAAATAAAAAAATAAAATGGTTCCGATATCCTTGGCCATGTAAACTGTGGGAGCACTACCCTATGGGTGGTCTATCATTAACCAAAAACATCATTACACAGTGCATGACTACATAATACAACTAACATTTAAAATGACCTGAATTCAAATCTTGGCTCTGCTACCTGTGAACTTAGACTTTGCAGTGCTAGGAATTAAACCCAGAGCCTCATGCCTGCAGGGCAGTAATCTAACCACTGAACTACATCTCCAGTCTTGAAATGACATTTTCAGCAAGCTATTTCATTTATTTACTTTTGCCCTCAAAAAAAGGGCATAATAAAAACTGCAAACCCTACATGTTGCGAAAATTCAGCAAGGTAGTGGAACCATGTAGAACAGTGCCTGCCACATGAATGCTAATATTATGACTCAAGTTCAGATCCCTGAGCTCTCTATAGAAATTTACTGTACCTTTGTGATTTTTTGGTGGGGTACCTGGCCTCGAACTCAGGACCTTGTGCTTGCCAGGCATTGAGCCACTGAGCTAAATCCTTGGCCCTATGATTTTATCTTGATACACATCTAAAAACAATACAAGCATACTCTAGACACTTTGGATGACCAATTTATAACACTGGATTCAGCAAATACCAAGTAGTTCGCTGTTTACATTGTGGAGTAATGAGGAAAAAAAAGTGGCTTTCATTGTAAAGGATGGAGGTCACCTGAAGACCAAATGACAGCACAGTCAGTTCTGTGAATAAATGTTTCCCAAGAGCCGGGTGGGGTGGCACAAACCTGTAATCCCAAAACTTGGGGAGGCTGGGGGAGCAGGATCACTGAGTTTGAGGCCAGCCTGAACTGCACAGGGAAACTCTGCCTCAAAAAGACAAAAGAAAAAGAAAAAGAAAACCAAACAAACCCCAAACCGAGACAAAAAAAAAAAAAAAAAAAAAATGTTTCCCAAGGAAAAAAACATGAAAAGAGAGGTAAGGAATTAAGTCATGATATGGTAATACGGAGGCCTGTAAGCATGTCACCGCAATCAAGGGTACGGCTTGCCAGTCTACGAACTACTCAGAGCCAACTAAATAACAGTACAAATGAGATATACTGTGAGTTGAGTTTTCGCAAATTTCTTTCTTTTTGGTTTTTTTCCGGTACTGGGGATCGAACTCACGACCTTGCGCTTGCCGGGCAGGCGCTGTGCCGCTGAGCTAAATCCCCAGCCCCTTCACAAATTTCTTTCAAGTCTTTTTTCTTTGGAGATAGAGTCTCACTATGTAACCCAGGCTGGCCTCCAACTCACGGCGATCCCGCTGCCTCAGCCTCCCCAGCGCTGGGATTACAGGCGTGTGCCACCATGCCAGACTGAAGCTCGGTCTACGTTTGTTCATATTTAACCTACGTCTTACAAATAGTTTCAATGCACCCTGTGGGTTTCAAGGATGTAGTGACGAATGTGCCTTGACGCCTGGAGGAGAGGCACTCGGCGGCAGCGGTGACAGGTGACGTTTAACCCCGCAGCCTGACCACAGAGCACCGAGCGTCCCGGAGGAGCAGCGCGACGGGGGCGGGAAGCGCGGCGGCCCGGCGTGGAACGCGCGCCGCAGCCCACCCCTCCCGGGAGCTGGCCAGCCGGCTC